AGGAATGCAACTAAACAGTTCTGCACCTGCACATGTTCTGCTGACTCCAAAAGAAAGCACTGGTTTTGCATATATCTGGCCAAGAAGGGGTGCACCTCTTTGAAAGAGATGGGCCTGTTTCACTATGTCCCACCCTTTCCCCCAACACCACTTCAAACTGTTGCCCACATCTTTCATCCCTATGTTTCTTTCCTTTACTCAGTAAAGGTGCTGGTTTCAACATCATACCCCTGCATTATCTCAACACCACAAAAGAATGGCTATTGCGGGCTCTATCAGCTTTCTGTGGCCTGTTCAATCGCCACAACACAGCGGTCTGCTAGCAATTCGATCATTAAGTAAGCAGTGTTTATCCACTGGAAAGCTAACGCCACATTTCCTGTTAAATGCTCTTTTCTTCTAATGTTTTCACTCTAATTTTTTGTGTGTACGCAAGCAAGTTCTACCTGCATTGCCTACATATTTGGTGAAGGAAGACCAAGGGACCACTGTTGCTGCTGTTAAAGTCAGCAGTGATTACAGGTCAGACGTGGACCAAACATTGCCTCTCACAGAAGCCTCTGTCTCAGATGGACTAAATTCATGTTGTTCATTAATGTTGCAGCTCAATTATTATAATCCCTTGATTAGCAGTAAATTCTGATTTTCATATAAAATCCAGCTGCCAGCAAAACAGGAGCTGATTTTGGTTTTATTACTGGTATTACAGAGTCCTCCTTCTGTATGCACAGTTAAACATCATCATACCATATTAAAGAACAACCAATGCCAACCACCCAGGAAGGGTTCCAGCCAGCCACTATCTTCTGTATCTGGATTAAAGTCACTGCACTCCTCTGATGAATCCTATTATACTAATCCACTCTGATTCCATCAGTCATCGTAAGATACTCGGCATTAGTCACAAGGGTTCCCATCATGGGCTAATTAAACATTATCCATGTCCATTCAAACACTGAAGTTAACCAAGGACAAAAGTCCTTCACAATGTAACTGATGTCCATATCATTCAGCTGAAACATTGCATACATCTATTATATACAGGGTCTTTCTAGCTACCAGGATTCCCGTGATTACCTGTAAGAACTGGAGATGTCACTTATTTCTTCTCTCCTCATGCCTATCTATCCCCTCCTGCTTTTTGCTATTTTTATATTATGGTATAGGCACCCCCTATGGAAATCTACTGGTGAATTTCTTAGTAAGGAGAAATTCTGAAGGTACTGCGTCTTGTACTTTAATGGCAACTGTGCCTTGCTATTTTCTCATTTTTTCCCTGTCTACATCTGCCCTGGAAAAAACGCCTGTACTGATTAAAAAAAACAAAAAACACAAAACTTTGAAAACACAAGTATTCATATACATGCAAATATATATCCCTTCAACCTAAGTTAGCATAGGATGTTTTCAATTTAATGCATCTCTTGTTTATCCCACCCCGGCATTTTGAGAGAGACATTTGGATAATAATAGTTATTTAACAAGACTCTAAGTAGTATCTACCTCTTCTACATTTCAGCTCCACTTATCCTAGCCCATTGGTGAGTCTTATCTGCTACAAATTCTATAGTTCGGTGCTAGAAAAAAGGGGGCTAAAACATGATAAGTGGAAGCACTTCCATTTTCTGTGATCTTTTTCTCAGAACTACAGAAAAGTAAGACTAAGACTGCAGATGCACAGCACAATTATTGAGTAACATACCCCTTTTATCTTGAAGTAAATTTATTCCATAATAAGAAGCAGACACATGACCAGCTTTCCAAGGCCAGCTGCCCACAGTAGCTGTTATTATGGCACTTGGATGACAGTATAGCCAATTTGTAGTGAGCAAATGACCAACCTGGGATGAAATCAGAGCTGACCTTAGGGAAAATGGTGCCCTGGGTGAACTTGTATTTTGGCACCTCTTCCCTCCCTCCCAAGTTAGTGCTGCTGCTGCTGCAAGCAGAAGCAGTGAGGCAGGGGTATGGGATGCAGTCCAGCATGGAAGCAGAGTGCATGGTGTGCTTGAGTGCATGGCACGGTGTGCCAGGAAGGTGGGCAAGCAGAAGTCAGAGCCACCTCACACACACGTGCCCAGCTTGGCTTCTCCTGAGCAGCGGCTGGAGGCAGGGGGTGGGCTGGGCTGGGCACCTCTCCCCCTGCCTGGGGTGGAGATTGGCCAGGGTAGGGCAAGGGGAGGGCAATGCTGTGAGCATGAACTGCTTACATGTGTTTGTGCATTTGGCACCCCCTGACCATGATGCCCTGGGCAGTTGCCCACTCTGCCCACCCCTCAGGCTGCCTCTGGATGAAACTGAATACATACATTATGCTCCAAGTAGTAACTTGTTTGTAAGATAAGGGCCAAAGTTATTACATATTTTTCAAGGGCTACCTTTACCCTGGATTTGAGTGATAAACTCTGTAGTATGGCTATGTCACGTGTCCATTCTACGTTTGGTACATAGTGAAGTGAAGTTATTAGGTAGCAAATGTGTGTGTGCTGCACATATTCACATTCTAACTCCCATCAGGAAAATGCCCGTACATCACTTAGAAACAAAAAACTGGAAGGGACCTCTGCCACCCTACCCTCCCGTCTGTTCATTCTGTTTCTAATAAAAAACACTGGGCCTGAACCCAATTCCACTGAAGTCAATCACGCCATTTCTGAATTGCTTCATTAAGAGCATGCCTGGATTCCTACACTTAGAAACAGTTCTATTTCCTCAAACAATGAAATATTTTATGCCATTTATTACACTTCAGGAAACAGCCATTTAATTGTTCAGACAGCTGGAACATGGGCCATACTTTACCAAGATAAGATAAATTAATCAAACTTATTCTAATCAGCCATCAAATCATAAAGAAGTTAAATTTTTAAAGTTTAACTTTTATGAACTAACTAGTTAACCATTAGCCAGAGCACGTCTAATCTCTAAGCCAGACACATGCAGTTAAGGTGCGATGAACAGCTGCCGCTTAAATATTCAAGTGACATGGGATTAGGAGTGGGGCTTTCCCACTGATTTATTAATCATTAGTATAATAAAAGAAAGGTCACTGGAGAATGGCATGTCAGAATAATATTCTCCTGATTTGGAACTAAATGTCTCATTGCAGTAGGACATTGTTGTCCTGTCAGCTTTCTATTCACTTGACATCACCTTCCAAGTATACCACTGAGTTAAATCTCCCTGGGGATATTGTGACCTTTTGGTTAAAAGCACCATAAGGGTCCTTCAAAACTGGCTACACACGTCTGACTAAACATCACATATTATAATCAGGGCTGATTTCAGTCTAGTTGCAAATACAGAGGCCACATGCATCACTGAAGCAGCCTCACTCTGATGATGCATCACACTGACAAGGCACTAGCCAACATGCTGTAGAAATATCAATAAAGAAAAGCTTCAGATCCTGATGAATAAAGAGGATTTATACTGGGGAAGCTTTTCCCCTCTGGAACCCTTGGGGTCTTTTTTCAGCTCATTTGAATCCCATTGTTCAGAAGCCTGAAGCCTGGACTGACTGAACTTTTAACTTTTGAACTTTAAGGGTCAAGTCATTAGATCTCATGCTTAAGGCAAAATGCACCACCAGCCAGGGTCTGTTATATGCAAAAACCACCCATACTTGTTATGCTAGCCAGCACATAGATCAAATTCTGCTATCAAATACAAAGCACGTGGTCCTCTACGGGCAGAACCCTGTGTTATGGGGCTGTCTCTTATCTGCCCTCACCTAATTTTGGAAGCACAGGTGTCCTGCAAGGAGAAGGTGACGGCATACTTTGTGTAGAGACCAGCTATCAGCATGCTTTTTGGTTTCAGATACTCTGAGGTGCACACAACTTCAAACTTCAGTCTGAGCAGTTTAGTCCCCTTATTGTTAAAAAAAAAATAGCAGCACTCTGGTTCTTAATCTGTGCACACTCACACACATATTACAGGCATAAAACAGATACCTCGGTATCTGAGGAGGAGAAAGAAGACAAGGTAATCTGCCTGGCTAGCTTCAGTGCTTCTATCCTCATTGCAGCAAACTCTAACTCCTCCTGTCAGTAGTTTGGTTGTGAACAATTCACAGAAAAATGGGTTAAAAACACGATGTAACCATTTTACACATTCAAAAAATGAATGTCATATTTCAACATAGCATGAGGACAAGTCTTGGATGACACACACATGCAGTGTCCCTTTCAGAATTCAAACATCAGCAAAACACAAAACCAGGTTTACAGTTAGCTTTGATATGGTTCTATCTAGAAACACCTCCACCAGGGGCCAAACATTACACGCTTTTGGGTACAAGAATATTTTCCAAAATGAAATTAGCTATAGGACTTTTTTTTTAATGGATTTATTACTTCTTCCTTTCATTAGTCACTATATGTTCGTTTACAGCAGCAATTGCAACATTAATCAGCAGTTTTGAATGTAAATTTTGGAATTATTTTGGAAAATCTGCCATGATGCACACAGATTTGCTCTCAAAAGCTATTTCCTTTCTTTGGAAGAAAGCAGGCAAATTACATACTAAGCACAATTAATAGGAAAAAATGCCTGACTGCAATCTCCACTAAGCAGAATTAGGTCCTAAAACAACTGTCTCTGTGTTTTTTGATATATTGACTAAAGTAAGGTATATGACATCTTAAACTCTCCATCATGAGTCCTGTGTTCAAATTTCTGAGCTTTTTCTTTTTTTAAATAAAATGTTTTATGGAAATGCATATAATTAGTAAGATCATGTTGCCGAGATAAAGATGCTAACGTTCCTGAACTAACATTTGTATTCTATTTTATTCACCGACAGGTTTATATTAATATCTCACTCCCTCTTAAACCTTTCTGCAAGGCAAAAGGAACTCTGGAAATTGCTTGAAACTTAGTAAGTTTTTGTAAGTTTAGGAAATGTGTTCTCTACTGATGTTAGACAAACTTAAAGGAACACTAACATTTACACTTTTGCTACAAACCTGAAGTTTCTGAGCAAATACTGGGGGATTCTTTTCTGCTAAATCAGGGTCTAGATATTCAGGCTGATTGCTTAATGAAGTTTGCTGGGATATCCTATTGAGAAGAGCATCAGCAGAGACAAAGGAGTCCTCAGGAGAAGTCTAAAGGGTAAGGAGGATATAGAACAAATCAGAGGTTGTCAACATGTTTTCAGGCTGAAAACCATACACCTGCCTTGGTTTTGTTTTCTTTTGGTCGCAGATAACTGATGAGCAAATACAGACAAAATTGAACAAGGGTCCAGTCATATTCCCGCAAAATTGAGGAGTGAAATAAGTGATGTCAAAACCTCTAAAGCAGTGATTCTCAACCAGGGTAACAGCAGATTCTTTGAGGGGTCTGCCACAAAGTGCAAGGAGATAAGCAGATAAGGGCAGGCTTACACTTGTTCCTGCCTTGCTGATATGACACCCCCCCCCCCCCCACCCACCTCCTGGCTGCCCTGCAAGGAGGTAAGCAATGTAATACAGAGATTTGTTTTTAAAATTGGGTTCCAATCAATTCACAGATGTTATGGAGAGTGCCTCAGATGCAAAAAAGGTTGAGAACCACTGCTCTAAAGCAATAGGTCTCAGACTGTGGTTTACTGACCATATCTTGGTACCAGGCAGTCATCACAGTCTGTCTGTCTTCAAGCAGTGAAACTTTCTGAAAGCCGTAGCTCAATCAGGGACTCTTCAAAGAGTTCCAGAGGCTTGTTTGATTAACTGAACTGAAAAAAACTACCACCATTAAACTTTTTGAACATACTACAGTGTTTTTGCATGTTTCTTTAGCATAAATTTAGCAAGAGCCAAAATTGCAGGTGACTCCAAGCCTGAAAGCTATCAACAGGGGTCAGAATCACGCTGTTACTGTTAACAGTAACTTTTCAGACCACAGCAGGGTAGCCCATCAAATGCTGCTATAACCAGTGAAAATTAAGCATCTTTATCAAGGGGAGACCAAAGCCACTGAACTGAATTTTTGCCTGGCACCAAAATGTGGATACACTTTCTGCACTGGAACCTTATGTGTAATTAACAGTAATTATATGCACGTTCTAGCTGAAGAATCTGCAGGTTTTCCCTTTCAAAATTGAGGACTGGTGTCATAGGAAAATGTTTCCATCACTCTTCTTGCAATTACTTACTATTTCAATGGTCTCTGAAGCTGTTCCTAGGGTCATGGGCTCCAAGTCTTTCTGTTTAGATTTGTCAGGTGCTTGTAAGTGTGTCTCTTGGCTAGCAGTCAGGGCACGAGAAGCTGGATGCTGGATTTTCATTCCAGAGGAAAGCTGGGCTTCAGTTTCCTCGAAACTTGACCTGAAATAAGATAGCACAGTGGTTCTCAAACTTTTTTTTTTGCAGACCACTTGAAAATTGCTGAAGGTCTCAGCGGACCACTTAAACTTCTTTTTTGTTCTACAAATCAAAGTGTATGACTCATATTTTAATATCAGTAGTCTTACCTTACAAGTACAGGTATTCTCAACTGTTCCGCAGCCTTTCTGCGGACCACCTGAATGGAGCTCGTGGACCAGTAGTGGTCCGCAGACCACAGTTTGAGACCCTCTGAGATAGCATATATATTTTCAGACTGAGTTAGGAGCTCTATGCAAATCAATCAAATGCTGCTACAAATGTAGCAAAACCTTTTTAGTTAAACAGCCACGCTCTCAGACTCATAAAAGCTAGTGTAACATGATACTACTACAATAATTCAATCTTATATCAGTTCTATCTTGCAAGATTTTGAAATATACTTTTCAAAGCCCACTGATTTGAATTTCTGGTTGGCAACTTTGAAATATGTTTCTCAAAGTAATATACAAAAATAATCTGGATAAAATCAGTTCCGGTGGATGAATATCTCATGCACCACCTAATATCTGCTGCGGTTTTGGTTGTAGCTGTGTTGGTCTAAGGACATCGGCAGGCAAGGTTCTTTGAGTCCATGTGATTATCTTTTATTAGACCAACTGAGCAGCTGGAAAAAAATTCTTGGCAAGCTTTCGGACGCAGTCACCCCCCTTCAGGCTGTTCTGAGATTTTATTTTCACTGACAACCTGCCACACGTTTAGCTTCTTTCATTTCTTGGAGTCTCAGGACAGCAGAGACTCCCCATGCCTGAAGAAGGGTGATTGCATCCAAAAGCTTGCCAAGAAATTTTTTTCCATCTACTCAGTTGGTCTAATAAAAGATATCACATCTACTCACTAAATATTTAGGACTTGTCCCTTGTTTCTCATTTCTACATGTATTTATTTATTTATTTACCAAATAACTTTAACCAGAGCCAATGTCATTTGTAAAGGTCAACACAACCCATAATTCTTATCATCATTAGAAAATGGATGAATTGGCCAGAAAACGCAGTTAGTTTAGAAGTGTCAAAACAAGAGTTACAGTCTGGAGATTTTACTTAAACTGAAATGAAACTAACTTTAAACTATAAGAAAAAGCTATAAGCATTGAATCACAATATACATTGACAAGAGCGCTTAGCCTGAGTACAGATTTAGAAGTAATCAGCAAAGCTATGCCACGGAGATACAAGGTTTGAGTCTCCACTCACCGTGCTGCTGACTAGTTTTCCTTATACTACAGACCTCTCACTGACGGGCTGTTTCAAAATAAAGTAGGCAAAAATAAAATACAGGTTTCCCTCGATTTATGCTGTACATGTGTTCCCGGAGAATGGCGCATAAATCGAATTTGCATAAAGTGAACCCACTTTACAATGCAATAAATAGGGATAGGTTCCCATTGCGGTGAGGGAGGGAGGGAGGCTGGGACTAGGGGTGCCACTCCCGGGGCTGCAAAGGCAGTAAACCAGAGGGAACAGAGTGACACTCACCCCAGCCCGAACTGCAGCGGCCCTGAGAGCCAGCTGCCTGCAGCCACTGGGCTGCACCATGCTCCGCCTGTCCCCACTCACCTTGCTCCTGGGCTGTGCTGTGCCCTGGTGCAAGCAGCTGGTGTCGATTGCTCCCGGGGTCACTGCAGCCAGGGCTGGGGTGAGCGGGGCCATGGTCCTTTCCCCACTCCAACAGACTTACCCGCTTGAGCAGGGGAGGCATCTAAGCTGATTGCACGAGAGTGAATTTACCTTGCATATAATGAATTATGAGTCTAAATATGCTCATTGCATAAGAGCAAATTTGTATATAAAGAACATGCATAAATCGAGGGAAACCTGTACAGAAAAAAGCACTGCCCAAAGCATAAATTATTTAACTGTAATCCTTACCCCAACAATCTTTTATAACGAACTATATTTCACTTAAGTGACATACCCTGAACATGGAGTTGTCGAATCAGAAAGTCTGACTGGAGGGGATTTAACTGGACTCTCCTGCTGGGCATCAAACATAAGATACAAAGACTGTTTCTTCTGGGTACTATCATCCTTCAAAAGACAAGAAAGGACATATTAAACAAATTCCCACATTATACCAATTCACAGACTCTAATGACTGACAAACAGCATTTCCATCTGAAGCTCACAATCTAGGGTCTTCAGACTAGTATTTTCTATTTGGTGCTAAAACACAATGTATAATAATACATCATTAAAAGAACACCCTATTTTATAAAAAAAAAAAAGTCACCAGTGAACACACAATTCACTTTTAAAATAGTTTTTCACTGCCATTTGGGATTAATTAGAATTGAGGTACTTCCTAAATTCTGTAACCTGTTCTTTTGGGATAGATCACATGGCACCCACTGACTGAAAGCATCATCAAAAAGTTAATTGGAACTGACTTTCCTTCATCAAATCGAATACCCAAGGGTTTCCCAATGATGGAATGCTTCATTCTTATGAGCACTATAGAGAACTTAGAAATTAATAAGATCCTAAATGTCTATCTAATTACTCAAATAAATATAAGACAAAACAATCTGATGTTTTAAAACCCTGTATTCCCACTTTTTACACCAAGTCTGTGCTTTGAAGAAAAGCACTCATTTCCCATTTCCTTTCACAAAAACATTTAGTCACGGTTTGTGGATTTCCATGTACTGTTTAATAACCCAATAGAGACTGCTCTGGGAATTTTTAACTGGTTTTAATTTGCAAAAAGGGCAACTGAAAATGTATCTCAGATTAAACAGCCTCTACAAGCGTAGGGGCAAACAAAGTGCATACAATTTACCTGACTAAAAGGAACTGTACATACAATCTGCTTCAGGCAGATGTACAGTTAATTCAGTGTGTAGCTGGGAATTGTCCAGATGGCATTACCACATCAGTTCATAATGACTACAGCTTGGAAATAAATGGAAGTGGAAATTCACAAGTGAAAACTTACAGGCACGGAGGAGCCTATTTTCTCCATATATTCTATTTCATATGAGTTGCCATAATCCAGCTCTGCAACAGAAAGAAAAATGTTCCCAGTATATGGGGGGAAATACAGTTTTTGCATATGTGAATGAAATATTAACTACACATTTTTAAGTGTTATTCCTGCCCTGAGGCTTTATTAGTGATGCTTTTCTAACAAGCATGAGAAACAAAATACAACCCCTATAGCAAAAAAAGGCAAAATTTGATCCATGCTATTATGAATTTGCCTGCAAAACTCCTAGTCAATCTGTTTTCTTTGTCCAAGACACACTTTCACATCCAATGTCAATTACTAAAGTAGCAAACCCACTATGTAATTTTCCACTCTTATGGTATCTTAACCATAGCTTATTACAAATCATCAAAAATATTTTTCTTGATAATTATTTCCTGCAGTGAAAGAAGAAAGATTTTGCAAGTTCATGAAAGATCAAATTTGTTCATATGTGAAATTATGCAGATCTTAATGACAAATTATAATTTTGTCACTTGAGATAAAAGATGGATTACAAATCCAGAAATTCACTTGGCGAAAGATAATTAAATAGCATTGCTATTTCAAATTGTTGTTATATAGGGACAGTCTGAGGAATGAGTATTTACAGAGAAGCTTTGTTCTCCCAACCTCTAATAAATGCCTTTACTGCTCTACTATTTCATATCTCTTAATTATTCATAGGAATTAGCCAGCACTGCTTTCAAGTCCTAGTCACACAGGGGAGAACTGATATAGACACATACACAGACAAAGAAACTGCTGACACAGGCAGGAGATAAGTGAAACAAATCTGAGATTAGGGCTTGATCCTGCCAGTGCATGAAAATACCTTACATGAGTAGTCCCACTAAAATCAACAGGTTTATAACATTAAGAAAGGAATTTGGGACCAGACTCTAAGATGCAAAAGATCTCTCTCAGGTTTTGCACCTAAAACCAGTTTACAGTGAAGTTCAGAGAAACAGCACAATGGAAAAGACAGTCTGTTTCCTGGGAATAAAAATTAAGGACTCCCGTTATATAGTTTCCCTATTTAAAAAGGCTTATTTACTCTATTTCAGATTTCTTTTTAATATGCTTCAGGAAAGTACTGAACAACACACGTTTAACTTCATCTCTATACAGTTAACCGTGAGTTAATGGAACTTATACGTGTGCAAAAAGCTTAAACTATGTTGAGAGCTCCTTCCTGAACTGGGATACCTTATGTCAGGAAAACAATCAAAAAGTCAATGGCCTCTTTTCAGCATATCAGTCCAGTGCAAAAACATGGGTAAAAGCATTTTAGTTTCTGCAGACACCCGCACACAGGGCAGTGATATGGCTAACAGCATGTCCAGCCAGCTTTGACTAACCATCCCAAATGACCAGGTACCTTTACATAAAGAGGCCTTCGGCAGAAGTCTAATGCAGGGCTCGGCAATCCCCATCACGTGTGCCAAAGCATGGCACACAAGGTCATTTTACTCAGCATGCCACAGCCGGCCTGTGCTCTGGGCCGGCTGCAGCCGGGAGGCTGTAAACAGCTGCACTGGGCTCTGAGGCATTGGCACTGGATCTGTAGTGGTGGCAGCTGCATGCATGCCTCTGGAAAGATAGCATGAGAGGGGCCTGGGGCAGCACAACCCTGGCCCCTTCCCTGCCATCTGCCCAGGAGCACATGTGCAGCTGTCATCACCACAGAGCCGGTGCTCCAGAGCCTGGTGCAGCTGTTTGCAGCCTGCTGACCATCTACTACACCTTCCCAGAGCCCAGGCCAGCTGTGACAGGCAGCTAGGAGGCTGCAAACAGCTGCACTAGGCGCCAGAGCCCTTAGCCAGGTTCTGTGGTGACATGGCTGCATGCATGCCTGTGGGTGGATGGCAACGGAGGGGACGAGGTTGCACTGCTCCAGTCACCTCCCCTTTTGTCCACCTAGAGCCCTGCATGCACCCACCACCACCACTGAACCAGTGCTGGTGCTCCAGAGCCCAGCACAGCTGTTTGCAGACTCCCAGCTGTCTGCCACAGCTGGCCCAGACACTGGGAAGCTGCAGCTGGTGGCTGGAGGGGCTGCAAACAGCTGCATTGGGCTCTGGAGCCTCTGAACCAGCTCCGTGCTGATGGTGACTGCATGCAAGCTTCAAGGCGCAGGGCAATCTCTCCCCTGCTATCTGCCTGGAGGCACATGTGCAGCTGCTGTCAGCAATGAGGATCAGGCCCCTTGCAGTTTCCACGCGGTCTGCCCCTTCCATGCCAAGTTGATACACAAGTCAGGATTGGGGTGTTTTTGCCACTTCAGCCACGCTGTCACTGGGCGCCATACCAAGTAGACTAGCTGTCAAAACCAATGAGGCTCATTTAAAAAAATAGCAAGTAAGTGTAAATGTCTTAACTGTCTAAAGGAAACAGAAGGAAACTAGTAGGTCTGTGCAAAGCGGTTAGTATTTGCTTCGGATTCGGCCAATTCGGGGGACAGTGATTCAATTTGGTGATTCAAATCACCGTACTGATTCAATTTGGCCAAATCTGATTCAGAGATTCAGCTGCTGCCAAATCTCTGAATCTCTCAACCATCCAGGCCCCTCCTCTGCCCACTCTCCCAGCCTGGCAATGGCTGCCCTGCCCCCACCAGCTCCCGGCACTTTGAAAAAAAAAAGCCCTGGCTCAACGGATGCTGCTGGGCAGGGTGGGGCGATCCCCGCTGGGAGGCTCTTCCACAAGCCCCCTGACCTTCCACCCACTGTCCCATGGCTGCCCTGCCCACCCCAACTCCAGCCCTTTAAGAAAAAAAAAGCCCCAAACTCACCATTCCTGC